TTTTCGTGGTCTCTCGCTCTGGGTCAACTCTGTGAGCTTGCGGCATAAAATATCTATGTCCTTCTGCAGAGTGCTGATTCTATCGTCTACTGTCACGCTGTGTGATTGAGGGCTTGCTTGTTTTGCTCTTTCGTATATTCTATCAGCTATTTTCGCTATGTTGTCTATGTCAGCGTCAGTATCTCCAACAGTTAAGATTTGCTGAATACTGGACGGGAGTCGGCGAAGCCACAGTTGATAAAATAAGTTATTGTCTATTTTTCTATCACCTAGTATGCTTTTCATATGAGTTTTTAACTGTGATGGAGTTCTATCCCCCATTTGTACCTGGTTGAGAAGCTGCTCAACAGCTTGTTGGTCACTTAGTGCGACTGCCTTAATTACTGCCTGCTTTAGTACATCGTATGGCCTTTCGGTATCCGGTTTAGATAACGCCTCTCGTACGCTTTCTGCTACTTCGTCTGGGAGGAGAGTGCTTGTGAGGCCGAATTTATATCTTTGTAAGTTAATACGACTAGCCAGAAAATAGTTTTCAAGTCTAATGAACCACAGCTGAGGGTCGGTGACCTTAAAAGAGGGGACTGGAAGGTTAAGAGTTTTCACGGACGAAGTTTGCTGTACACTTGACATAGTGTTTTCGGAAGACATGCTTACAAAAAGTTTTGAGTAGTACACAAATATGATATAGATGTCACAAAGTAAAATAGACGGACAGAAACAATGATAATAATAAATGGTACAATTTATAAAATGGAACAGACTTACTAAATCGCACCAATATATCAATTGTTTGTGAATGATCGTTATTTAGTATGAATATAATCGTTAAGTTCAATGTTTGTGAGTTAGAATCTAATAAATCCGCAATTATGATTATGATACAGATAATAATCCGATTTGAGACGCAGCGCTTTGAATTTTCGGGATTAGATTATATCGTCGAAAATTGTTTTGTGATCGCTCGGCAAGGCTTCCAATTCTGTGGTGGTCGATATTCTGTACTATCCCTAAGCTTCGTATATTGTTCGTCTTGATAACAGTTACTCGACAACGTCCTAACGATGTATAAATCAGAAGACGAATACGAAGGGTTGATCGTGTTTATTGCTGAACCACACACAGTTATCCAATATTACAGACACGTTAAGCAAGCATGTAAGAGTAGTGCCGTAGAGCCGAATGAATGAGTAAGCGTCTACAGTATGGTGTAGCGTAATGCAGAGCAAAGAGCAAGCAGGGCAGTGCAGGGCAGTGCAGGGCAGTGCAGTTGAGTAGTGAACAGGATTAAGATGTACATATATATATAAGCGGAAAAGCATGAATCATCGGATCAAATAAGCGATTAATAATAATGCTAGCGGAATGAATATATGCGTAGGCAGTAAGCAATGTTCAAGCGTATATAATAAAAGTGAAATGGTATAGATGGGTGTTATTGTATGAATGACTGTCCATTAAATAAGTTAACAAAAGGGCTTAACTGGATTAGATGCAAACAAACTCAATTGTATCTGAGTTGCTATAAGTTCTTTGAAGTGTTCTACCCACCTGTTTCGTTGTTCTTCAATGTCGATGATTACTTTGCCTTCCATGTTTTTCACAGGTCTTTCTGGTTTACGGTAATTTCCAGCAAGTTTCTTTGTTGTATCATACAGTTGTCTCATGTTTCCCTCTCTTGCAGCCTTTTCCGCTGTCATCGCTAAATCTTCCACATATTGACGTTTGTCGGTTCTGATGCTCCTCTACACTTGTTTGTTGGCCTCTGTGTATTCGGCTTGTGCCTTGGCTTTTTCTGCTGTTGTTCGGCTGGTATTGATTGCTGTCTTCTTGTTCCTCCTTTCTTCAATCCTATCCAGTGTACCGACAGTGATCCATTCCTTGTGATGGTGCTTCTTTTGGCCCAGAATCTCTTGACATGTTGAAACGATTGCCTCCTTGATACCTTTCCAGTTGTTCTCCATGGTAGTCCCCTCTCCATTGAGTAGATCATAAAAGGCCTGGAACCTGTTGCTGAGGGTTATGTTGAATTTATTGAGTTTGTCAGCATCTCGAAGAAAAGCAGTATTAAACTTTAGTGATGTTGTCCACGCCGTTGTCCAGTGCTTCTTGAGTTTTAGTTTCATCTTGGCGACCAGAAAATGATGATCGGATGCTATATCAGCTCCTCTTCTGGTTCTCACATCATCCATCGTCCTCCTCAACTTTTTGTTGATGCAGATATGGTCGATTTGATTCTGTGTAGTGTGATCCGGTGAAATCCAAGTGGCTTTGTGTATGTTTTTGTTTGGGAATATGGTGCCACCTATGACCAGTTTATTGAAAGCACATAGGTTTGCAAATCTCTCACCGTTTTCGTTCCTTCCTCCCAGTCCATATTGTCCCATGACGTCTTCGTATCCAGTGTTGTCCTTTCCAACCTTGGCATTGATATCTCCCATCAGAAAGGTCAGGTCCTTGGTTGGGCACTTCTCGACGATCGACTGCAGCCTATCGTAGAATTGGTCTTTAGCGTCTTCATCGTAGTCGTTGGTAGGCGCATAGCATTGAAAGACGTTCATTGTAATGCCCTCTCTCTTTGTTTTGAAGGAGGCTTTGATGATCCTTGGTCCGTGAGATTCCCATCCTACAAGTGCATTTTTGTGCTTTTCTGAACAGCATCAATGCAACTCCTTGTGTATGTGGGGCATTTTCTTCCTTATGACCGGAGTATAACAGAAGTTCCCCTGAAGATAGTCGTTGTTGTCCAACCTGCGTCCAATGTGTTTCACTAATTCCAAGCACCTCCAGGTTGTATTTTCTCATTTCTGCAGCAATTTGGAAGACTCTTCCGGTTTCCCACATTGTTCAGACATTCCATGTACCTATAAAAGTTGTCGGTCCGGTTGTTAGAAGGTGCATCGGCCTCATGACTTGTGCATAATTAAAGTTTCAGCAATTGCTTCATGCTTAACCTTTAATCGCTTATTTTGCCATAATCTTAACTTTCCATTCTAATTTGAAAGTTATCATGAAGATATGCTTATTTCTTCTGTATTTTCTTAATAAACGTCAGCTTTAAATTCATCTTTCATATCTCGCTTTCACAGATTTCTTTCAGTCAATCATCTTTGATTATCCTTCAAATATTACTTAAGTTTTTGTTATAACTTGTGGCCTGGATGCCCTGTTAATGTATAGAGTTATAATGCCGCCAATAAGAATATAGTGACTGATCGATTGGACCAATGACATATAAAACCTGCGCTAGCACTTTAGATTACTTATCGGTCCAGCTTTCTGCCTAGTCCAGCCAGTTAAGTCCGGAACACCAATCTCTTCCTCTACAGTATGAATCATTTATTTCAAACATGCTGGGTTTATATATCAATTAAACAGATCACATCGTACCATAAAATAGGAAACAATATTTTTGTGTAAGATTTAGCCAAATGTGGCTGTGAATAGCGGGGAACAGTAATCAATAGACTGGGGATAACTCAAGAATGGTAAATTGTATAATAATAGTCTATAGGTCAAAATAAAGCTTATAATAAGAGGGACGCGAATATGAATAGTTTAGTTATTTAGCAATTATAGAATAAAAATATATGTATCATATTGGTCCATAAATAGTTCTGGTAAGGCACCACTCAAAATTCTCTTCGGGATATAACAGTTTTTTATCCTTTAGATTACACTTAATGAGTGATTATAAATGAAATAGTCCGTCTTTAGTAAATGACAGCATCTAAAACAAAGTTTTCCTTCACTGTCTTTATTTTATTGAATAGTTAGTTGATTGACTACTGCTTATTTGAAATAGTAAGAAATTCTAAAATATAACTATGGAAACATTGTAAGCAAAGATGGATAGTTGCTAGCAGTGGAATCCAAGACGCGCGTTTCGTCTTTTTTGGGACTCATCAGCTGGATATACCTGCATCCCAGAGTTGATGTCCATTCCAAAACACGAACCCAGTACTGGTCGCTTCAAACGTTATCACGCAATCCATTTAGCTACTGAATACGCCAGACAAATGATTATTGCAAGCTATCTTGATGTGTAACTATTCAACTGTTACAACAACTGTTACAACAACTGTTAGCTCATACAACTGTTAGCTCATTGAATATAAAAAGAATCAGCCTAATATCAATGTTAATTATTTCATAATGATTACAGATATTTTTGAGTATAACATATTGGTTATGTGGTGAAAGTTTCTGCACATTCTTCACTATTTACTTAAACAAAATTGCATGATGGATAATTGGAAAGTACTATATTAAAAAAATAATAACATTTTACTTTAGACTAGTTAGTGGGCATGCCATTTGATTTAAGTATGAACACGTACTTATTTTAAAAAAAAGATTATTTGTAAATTTTCAGAAATGGGGTTTTGTTGAGATTGTAGTAATTTAATAGTTGAATTCATTAATCCATTAAAGCTAGATTGCCTTGGAAAACCTGGAACCACTGGATGGCTATTTGTTCTTAGTATGGGACTCCCCGGAAGTACGCATACACTATTCCGCTCGTGGGATTTGAACCTGAAATCTTCGGTTTCGCATGTGAACTCTTAATCTCTAGACCACTGAGTTGGCATCTATCTGTGTTAGTGTCTAACTTCAACCAATCTTCAAAATTGAGCCACCACTGTCTTCAGTGAATTACTGCTTGGGTTCGAATCCCGTGAGCAGGATCGTGGATACATACTGCTGATGATTCCCATACTATGACGAAAAAACCGTCCAATGATTCCATCTTTTTCATAGTGATCCAGCTTTATTCGACTCATGAATTCAACTAATTGTAAATTTATCAAACATATGAATAATAAACAAAAGTTGAGCCAATCATTGATGAGTTTACAAAACAACCAATAAGATATCAAGATAAAAATTAAATTATTATCTATAAGGTTCATTTTACGATTAGTTACATTACAATTATCTTCACTGATTATCATCAATTAACGATTATACAGTAATAAGTTGAACTGGAAAAAAAAACAAAAATGACAAGTGGACCACAACCTCATAATTTAATCGGACCTTCATTAGTTAATAAAGGAGGTAAAGCTGTAAGTAAAACAATAAAGGATAAATCTTAATTTATTTATAAATTACATATATACTTTTGAAAATATTAAATTTGGTATGTTTATATAAATGTAGTTGGATTTAAGAGAAGTTTTAAAAAAAACACAACTTGGAATTAATAGTATTCAATGTGTAAGAGTCCTACAACAGCATGAAACGGCCATCCAGTACTTCCAAGTTTTTCATGGTGGTCTAGCTTCAATTGACTTATGATCTCAATTATTAATTTTTTTTTTCTTAAAAACTAGTCCCAAAGTGAACATCAACTGTGAGATGTAGGTACATCCAACTGACGAGTCCCAAATAGGACGAAACGCACACCCTGAATTCCACTGCTAGAAATTATCTATCTTTACTTACTATTCACCTCTTTTGTTTTGTTTTGTTATTTATGTAACCAGGGTTCTGTTTATAGGTTGTTCAGTATGTTATATTTCATAAATTTTAAAAGAATGTTATATTGAAAAACAAATTCAGTTATTTATCCTATATTCAGACCTTCCCTTTAAGTACAGATCAACACTAAATTAAATGACTATTTAGAAGGGGATTTGTGGAGATTTCAGTATTTTTCAAATTTGAAATCATGATGCCAGCTCAGTGATCTATCGGTTAAGGGCTTCGGCTCGAAACTGGCAGGTCCTGGGTTCGAATCCCGCGAGAGTGGAATCGTGAATGCGCAATGCTGAGGAGTCCCATAATAGGACGAAACGGACGTCCACTGCTTCCAGGTTTTCCATGGTGGTCTAGCTTCAATTGACTCATGATTTCAACTTTGATAAATGACTGTTTGCTGAAACAATTTAAAGAAATACCATTGAAAATCTTTATGTTCAATACTACTTAAGTTTTATTAGTAATACATATATATATATATTAATGATGTTAAACTATTCTGTTAGCTAGAATCATTAGAATCTTTAAAAAAGTTTGTACAAGAAATACAAAGGAACTTTGATTTGTAAATGTAAAAGAATACTAAACATAGTTAAAATAATACCTCTTATGGATGGTCTTCGATTTCTAGTCGTTAGAACTTTCATTATGGAGTCAATAAAAAATACACCTTTTTTACTTCTCTCATATGGTAAACAATTTGGAATATTCTTATTGACTAGTGTTACCATGGTGACTAGTATATAGTGTAAGATTGAAAATTGAGATTTTTGAAAATCAAACCTCATGAATATGTTTTCTATTGAATTCATTTTTATGAATCCAGTATATATGTAAGTTAAAATGTAACATACTGAATGATATTTACAATTGATTGATCATTGCATGGTAATCGATGTCAAGTATGTTAGGTCCTTTTTAGTGTAGACTGAATCTTATCGATCAAGTTGTATTGTGGCCACTAGTTTAGTTGACTTTGACTGTGAAGCTGGATGACACGGGATCAAATACGTTAGAGAGCATCAGTTCCCTCAATATTACAGGTAAACCTTGCTGACGAGTGCCAAGTAGCACGAAACCTGAGTCCAGGGTTTCCTGTTGATTGTCTCCAACTACCATCTTATACTCGATGATTTTTGATTTTTGATATTGAAAACTCTGGATGATGAATAAATTCTAATGTTACTCACTTACATACTCTCTCTCTGGTTCATTAATGTGTAGAATTGAGTGAACAAACTACTGATGACATTAAATAGGAAGAATATATTTGTAAAATCTCAGCGAATGAATTTGAAGTAAATCCAATATTTCACCTGACAATCTGGTCCAAGCTTTTATAAATATATTCTTCCTATTTAATGTCTCACATCAATTAGGCATCCAAGTACTGTGAAACTATTCATTTTAATTTGACAAAATTCGTTATAAACTATTGATGAGTTGTAAATGATGATAATAAATGTAACTTAGTCTTCCCTGACTTTAATAATTCACTGAATGATATTGATTTATCAATGAGTATTAAAGTCAAACTGAACAGAGTCCTTCACAAACTATCTGAATTTTTGAACAAAATAGTATTGTGCTTTCAACGAGACTATAATTTATGGACAAACCAATCACGTATAAGATAACAGGTCACAGATTTTCGTGCAAAATTCATTCATCAATTTGATTAAATAGAGTTTTGGCATTATAGTTAATGTCAGTTCGTGATGAAAATCTTAAATTTAATTCCTAACCTTAACCATCAACTGTAAATCATAATTCTGATTCCTCATACAGGTTTACAACCCTTATTTAGTTCTGGTTATTAGGTGGATACTCTCAAGGTCACTTTAGAGTCGCTCAAAGGTCGTCCATAAATTATAGTCTCACCGTGCTTTTTCTTTAGATAAAATAACTTACCTTCAATAGGAATTCATATGGTAATAATATTTCTTTTTAATGACAAGTAATCCTTGAAACTAGTTTATTATTAACAGGTAAAATATGTTCATTCAATGTAGCCTGAACCTACGAAGATTATCAGTAAAAGACTGAACGACCTTTCTCTTTGAAACATTATGAGGTATAATGTTAAACAAAGTAGAAAATTGATGATTATACTAAACCATGTAAGAATTCACTAGTATATTACATTTTAATGTTAAGTTACTTATATTTATTACAATGCAACTTCTGATGTGTAAAATTTGATTAAGACTTACAAACAGGCTAAGACAGTGTTAAATATTTAAAGAGTTAAAGTTGAATTTCATCGGAATATTGTCTAATTTCTCAACATAAATTATGAATACAGTGGTCTTTAGTGCTGTTAGAGGTATGAGGGCAGTTATCACTTCCCGGTTGCCCACACCCTGCAAGGGTTCTTCAAAAGGTACCTGAAAAGGAAATTGGATTAGAACTGATCTGAGCGTGACCGCAGTGCCCAAGGGACAATTGCTTGAGGCCGGTCACTCACGGCCTTTTTGTGAGCAGTTTTTGTGTTAGCTCCGTACTTGTTGGGACCTTACCTCCGGAGACGGATATCCGTGGGATAAGGCGAGGTGTGCATTTTTCAGAGAAAAAGTGGGATAATTTAAGTTATCATATATATCAATGATAAATCAGTTTTCTGTTATATTTCACAAAAGGGTTTTTGTGGAGATTTTAGTAATTTTATATAGTTAAGATCATGAGTCAATTGAAGCTAGACCACCATGGAAAACCTGGAAGTATTGGATGACCATTTCGTCGCACTGCTGAGGAGCCCCACAATAGGACGAAACGGCCGTCTAGTGCTTCCATGTTTTCCATGATGGTCTACCTTTAATTGATTAATGATCTTGACTATATACATTTCTGTTATATTTGTTTGTTAATAAATTAAAATATTCATTATTCAATTGCAGAACCACTAGCTAATTAGTATTGTTTGTTTGGATCTTCCCATCGATGTGTTTAGGACTGCAACTGGTCAGTCTGTAATTGGCATATGTGCATACTGTGCGTATTGCCTCGATATACCTTAATACCTTAATTGAAGCGAGGGTACTGGGTTCGAGTCCCAGAGTGAACACCAACTCTGAGATGCAGGTACATCCAGCTGACGAGTCCCAAATAGGACGAAACGCGCGTCCTGGATTCCACTGCTAGCCACTATCCATCTCTGCTCACTAGCTAATTAGTTTAGAATTTCAACAAAGAATACTGATGTATTTTGTTTAGTTACTTTTAATTTGCTTCAACTAGAACACATAGTGGTATGAATGGCTAGCAGAGGAATGAAGGATGCACATTTCACCCTATTTCAGGATATTTCAGATAGATGTCCCTGTATTCTTTTGTTGATGTACACACTGAGATTTGAATCTACTATCTTTCAATTCAAATGTTCCATGTGTTATACATCGAGTTATTTAAGTTCAAATAGACAGTAACTTGTTCAACGAGTGTGAAAGTATTATTAAGGGTTTATGATTTCCCATTGTTATCATTCATGATAATAGATAATCAACCTTTATCCTGATATATCACTGTTATATTGACATTCATAAGATTGCTATAGAGTTACAATAAATTACAGTGCTGAATATTGACAATGAGAAATTAATTCCAAAAATATGATATTAACTAATGAATTTAATTTACTTAGTGTTGTTTAGTTGTATCTTCCCATTGTTATTTAGGACGGCAATTGACTAGTCTCTCGTTGACATATGTGCATATTGTGCGGACTGCTATAATATTGCCTTAGGTCACAAGCATTATAAGCAAAGATGGATAGTGGCTAGGAGTGGAATCCAAGACGCGCGTTTTGTCCTATTTGAGACTCGTCAGCTGGATGTACTTGCATCTCAGAGTTGGTATTTACTTTTGAACTTGAACCCAGTACCATTAGCTTCAAACTCTATCGCGTTATCCACTTAGCTACTGAGTCCTGATAACCATTTGTTTGTGCAATCTGGTGAAGTTTTAAATTCACTTGATTTTGTTCACTTATATCTTCCCATTGTTATTTAGAACTATCATTGATCAGTCTCTTGTTGTCTGCCTCATTATTGCCTTACGTCACAAACTTTACAAGCAAAGATTCAGGTACATCCAGCTGGCGAGTCCCAAATAGGACGAAACGCACGTACTAAATTCCATAACTAACCATCATTCATGTTTATTTATAAAACTAATGAATTCTTTTCTTTTCTTTTCGTGATAACAATCATATGACTAGTGAATATTTAATCTTTTTAATCTTTTTTCATCAACCTTACCTTACTTTACATACACCTGTTAGTCTCAATGGAGCATAGGCCACCGACCAGCATTCTCCAACCCACTCTGTCCTCTTCCTTTCTTTCTAATTTCATCCAGTTTTTGTTCATTCTTCTTATGTCTGTTTCCATTTCTCGGCGTAATATGTTCTTTGATCTCCCTCTTCTCCTTTCACCTTCAGGATTCTATGTGAATGCTTATCTTGTAACGCAATTAGGTGATTTCTTCAATGTATGTCCTATCCACTTCCATCGCTTCTTCCTGATTTCTTCTTCTTCCTCTGAAATCTGGTTTTGTTCTCTCCCACAATAGAATGATACTGGTAGTG